GTTAGGACCCCCTCATCAGTTTCCTTGCAAAAACCTACATGCCCAAATCTGCCTGGACACTGCATTTAATTTCCTGAAGAGGTTCTGAAAAGTAGGGTGTTTGTATAGCTGGTCTGACGCCTTTTGGCATCCTGCGTGCAATGACCGCGAAATCACCGAGCTTCACAATTTGGCAAAGCCCTATAATATCGGCGATATTGCTCCCTTTACAAACACAGCATCGCTACATTAACCCGGGGATAGCCGAGACAACGTATCCTCTGATGTTTGTTGAGAAATGACGTTATTGGTCATCGTGAGAGTAGAAATGGTTTTCATAGAGCCATCTCTCATTTCTGAGAATTCAGTTTTTCAATGTATTTCGCTATGTAAAGTCCACCCAAAGTCCGTTCTTCTTATAAAGTCTTCCAGCATTATTTTTCACCTGTAATGTTCATGAAATAAAAATTGCCTAAGTTTGTTTTGATTTAACTGGCTTGGCGGCTTTATGACCTAATTAAGGTTGCTCGCGCTCGCTACGCAGTCTGCGTCTCTCTCCCTCTCACGTGATCTTTGATCACTATCTAACCTTAATTAAGCCACGAAGCTCCGCCTTCCAGCCGCCAAGCTAGTTGAATCAAAGGGTGCCAAAACTGTTCTAATTCAGAACCTAACACTCGACATGCAATTGTTTCTTTTGATTTATCTTGCTGCAGCTTTAATAGCCGGAATAAATTCTAACAGCTCTAACCGTAAAAAGCCGAATACCGATATCGGTAAACAAGGAGGAAACCCTAACCGTAAGAAACTGAGCACCTATATTGGTAAACAAGGAGAAAAGTCTAACCGTAAGAAGCCGAACACCAATTTTGTTAGCTATGGAAAAAAGCCTAACCGTAAGAAGCCGAACACCAATATTGTTAGCTATGGAAAAAAGCCTAACCGTAAGAAGCCGAACACCAATATTGTTAGCTATGGAAAAAAGCCTAACCGTAAGAAGCCGAACACCAATATTGTTAGCTATGGAAAAAAGCCTAACCGTAAAAAGCCGAACACCAATATTGTTAGCTATGGAAAAAAGCCTAACCGTAAGAAGCCGAACACCAATATTGTTAGCTATGGAAAAAAGCCTAACCGTAAGAAGCCGAACACCAATATTGTTAGCTATGGAAAAAAGCCTAACCGTAAGAAGTCAAACACCAATATTGGTAAACCAGGAGAAAAGCCTAACCGTAGGAAGGCGAACACCAATATTGGTAAACCAGGGAAAAAGCCTAATAGGAAGCCGAACACCAATATTGGTAAACCAGGGAAAAAGCCTAATAGGAAGCCGAACACCCATATTGGTAAACCAGGAGAAAAGCCTAACCGTAATAAGCCGAGCATCCATATTCCTAAAACAGGGGATTTTCATGCGAGCTTTGCGATTCCTTTGTTGGTCTCAAAGATTAAAGGACTAAAAATCAATGTCGTTTTTTTTTTCAACAGTAGCCCTTAGACTTTCACACATCAAAAGTTTTTTTTGCTGAAACGGTTCCATAAGATTAAAATAAATTTTTCTGCCCAATGACTTCATTGTAAGAAATTTGCATGGAACTTTAGAGTGTAAGACCGAAAAAAAAGAGGATTTTGGTTACATTTGAGGAAATCGAGACCCAGTAAGAGGAAGAGACATATAAAAGTGATTTGACGAAAAAAAAAACTCAGACTGATTAGGTGCAGCCACTGCATAATTTTCTCATTTACAGATCCATGTGACACTTCCAGACAAGCAGCTTAAACCAAGGAATGTCAATCTGAATCTAGGAGATGAGGTCACATCTCCGCTGACTCACCCTGAGGATCCCAGTGCAAATGAACCTGAGAATACCGGTGCAGATGAACCTGAGAATCCCAGTGCAGAGGAACCTGAGAATCCCAGTGCAGAGGAACCTGAGAATTTCAGTAGATGAACCTGAGAATCCCAGTGAAGATGAATGAGGCTACAATAAACTTCCTTAATGCAGTGGTTTCTCATTCAATTTCCCAAGCGATTTCCTGCCCAAATCATATGTGTCATGATCATCTTTGTCATTAATGCGGCTGTCAAAACCTTTATTTTACAATTCAATTACTACACAACAGTAATGCACAGATAGCGAAACAAGAATGGACTGCCATTACCAAAGCACATAATCTTTGCATTTCCAAACATTTGACTCAAAAATTTTGCCTATCAGCATCTTTTATAAGCTTTGATTCAACTGACTTGGCAGCTGGAAGGCGGGGCTTTGTGACCTAGTTAAGGCCGCTCGCGCCCGCGACGCAGTCCGTCTGCGTCTCTCCCACGCGCGTGCTCTCTGATCAATGACTTCACGACGCGAGTATAGTTTATACTTGTAACTTACAAAAGTATACTTTAAGTATACTTTTGCCACGATTCACAGAGGAGCATGACATACTTGTTGAAATCTGTGTCACTAAATTGTGCTGAAATCATGCTACTAAGAACTAGCCGCTCAATTGCTGTTGTCAAATTTGTTCGCACTACTTTCTAACTTCTCGCAGTGCGACTTTTATAGTAATTTTACGAATTTTTACTTGTGTGAGGTAAAGTACGTGAAATTGCTTGGTGTTTAGCATTACATTTCATCGCTGCTAGTTCCTTTGCTTACAATACACCAAACGGGAAGACTAGGTACCAGATTGGGAACTACATAACCTCTGATTCAGCTGGCTTGGCGGCTGGAACGCGGGCTTTGTGACTTACCGCTCGCGCCCGCTATCGTCGATTCATGCCACGCAAAGACTGGACACCGTTGCGCTCGACGAAGATAGTTTGTGCATAGGAGAGACAGCAGACACTAACAGAAACGAAAGAGCGCTCAATCACGAAGACGCCGATATGTCCGCAGTCTTTGCGTGCTATGAATTGCCTATACGCTCTTTCCCGCGCGCGTACTCACTAACCATTACTAGCCTTAATTGGGCCACGAAGCGCCGCCTTCCAGCCGTCAAGCCAGTTGAATCAAAGCGTAACCTATACCAATCGAAAATGAACATATGGACGAGTAGCTTATTCAGTAAAGCACAGTGCATAATATATCCCATCGTTTCCAATGAGTTTTTTGTTTCAGACGGGTAACATAGGTGCGCGATAGGGTTATGTGGGTTTTGCTAACATTTTTATAAAGAAGTCGAGATGCTGATATAATACTCATTATGTAGATAGGAGTATTTAGTAAATTTGGAATCAGAATTAAAGCTTGCAATATATGTTTAACACATTGACGACCTTTTTCGGAAAAGCCAACATTTTCCAAATAAAATCACGCACAATTCCATCTACGCTACACTTACAGTAGCGCTGGAATGCTTGCAAAAACGGTAGAGGTTGTATCTAAATCCGGCATGAAGCAAAACTCTCGGAGTTGGTTGGACTCATTGTAGCCATTTCAATTAGAGTCATGGTATGTCAAGCCTTGACACACCATGTGTGTCAAGCGGTCCTTATGTTAAATAAAAAGAGAGGATCAGTTCAATCATTCCATTTGTAGAATTCAACCTCAGAAGTTGCAATTTATTTTACCATGGCGCTCAACCCCTCGATATTGAATTACAAAATTTCGAAAGGTGTCTTCATGAATTCAAAACTGCAGATAACTCGTTTTTTGTAAATAACAAAAGAGTTCTTATTGTTAGAAGTAAGGCTAACGCCACACTTCTTTATTCGAGTGAAACTTCTTACCCCCCCCCCCCCATCCTCGAAATGCCACGGACCGCCTCAGCCAATTCCTACTCAGGCAACGGATAGGACCCCTCCGCCGGAGAAATGGCAGGGTCGCGGCGTTTCCCCAGCGGTGGGTCTCCCATTTGTCCGGCGGAGCCCTCCCATTTCTGCTCCGGATACCTCCCATTTTCTGCTCCGGAGACCTCCCATTTTCTGCTCCGGATACCTCCCATTTTCTGCTCCGGAGCCCCCCGATTTTGTGCGCCGGAGCCCCCCGATTTTGTGCTCGGCAGGTCTGCCGCGGCATACTGTAATTAGCTAATTAGCCCTAATTAAAGGCAGCTTCCAGGCAGATCTGGACCTATGGGGCTTTTACAGGAAAGTACTTTTGGGGCCCTAACTAAGGCACTGCCGAAGCAGCAGCTCATGTAGTGCTCTAATGGCGGAGATATTCCCCTCGAAACAGACCCCCGCGAACGTATTCGCATGGGTTCATGGCAGTTTCGCGCCGGGATCTACGCTTTGCGCCATGAATCCATGCGAAACACGGTCGCGGGGTTTAGTTTCGAGCAGAATATCTCAGGCGTTACAGCACTACCTGAGCTGCCGGTTGGGTAGTGGCTTAGTTAGGGCCCCAAAAGTACTTTCCATGTAAAATCCCCATAAGTCCAGACTTGCCTGGACGCTGCCTTTAAGCTTCAAACCCCAATTTTGTCTCTAAGCCCCACCCAAATTAGCCGAATAGGACCCCCGGGTAGGAGTTCAGCGCGACCCTCACCCCGTACTCTACCCCCTCCCTCTCACCCCTAGCGTTTGTGGATAGAAGATAGATGAAAGAACGGAGATAAGACATTTATTTCAAATTTTTCAAACTTCTTCGAAAAATCATCTTATATCGTTAATCATTTCACACCCACTGGTGTAAAAGAATGAACCTTAGAATAGATAGGCTTGATTTTGAATTGAAGACCAATCAATGAAAATATTAGACATTTTCGATCCTGGATAAGGTAGTAGAATGAACGCAAGCCATCAGGACCCTGTATGATAATTCATTAGACTGGTGAATTCCCGATCAAGAAAATTGAGGTAGCACTGTTTTCAAAAGTAAGCGTTGCATCAGACTTTGAAAATGCTCACAAAGTCTTCTCCGTATTATCGAAAGATTTAGGATAAAACATGTCATCAGCACTAGAGTGAAAGTAAAAAGTGGTCTCACATTGCTATTGTTTACATCGCAATTGATCCAATCTTCCCCGTAGTGAGCGAAATAACTCATTGCTCATCGAAATCTCAAGCTTCTGCCGAAACTTTATCCGGGCTCCGGCCTCTTTGCGTCATCGTCCTGAAAATATTCCTTCACAAACATAAAAACGAACCAAATTTGATCAAGACACCGACCTGCATGATTTCCGAGTCTTCAACAATCCTTTTCAGCTCCTGAAGAACGACAAGCGAAATGAACGCCTGAAACATGTTTATACGAACAAAAATAGCGATCGAGAAAGACTTCCTACCTCCTTTCGATGAGGGCGTCGTTTTTGTAGTTGAATTGTTGGCATATCGCAGTTGTCCATTCCGCAAGTCGAAACTCCAGAAATCCAAGGCCAAACTTGCCCTGCAAGCACTTAAAGAAGAAACAAACGAAAATAAAACATACACACATAAGCACACATATACAAGTAAAAATGTGAAAAAAAAGAAAAAAAAGAAAAGTGCACAAGCGTCGAATGCAAAACCTTTGAATACGATAATGCATATCTAATCAATCAATGGTAACTAACCTGTGCCTTTCCAAGTAAGGGTGTCCTTGCTTGACTCTGGTTCTCTGCAAAATAAAACATTAGAGAAACGAAAGAATAAAACAAACACAAATAAATATTAGCGAATAAGCGAACGTTCAAAACGTGACAGGGTGACGCCGCAATGAATGATTTGCAACGACGCGCCAAATCGATACGCAGCCTGCTCTGGATACCTCCCATTTTCTGCTCCGGATACCTCCCATTTTCTGCTCCGGATACCTCCCATTTTCTGCTCCGGAGGCCTCCCATTTCTGCTCCGGACCCCTCCGATTTTCTCCGGCGCGGCTCTTCCAAATCTGGCGGACTCGCGCCGGGCAAATTTCTCCGGCGCGAGTCCGCCAAATCTGGCAGAGTCGCGCCGGAGAAATGGCGTACCTTTGCAGCAGGGCCGGAGAAGCGTCCCATTTGCCTGCCAGTGATGTCACCGCGACGGACCGCCCTTTGCCCCGCTCTCATTGGTCAACTGGGTCCGGCGCGACTCTGGCAGATTCGGACTGTCCGGCGGTGGGGTCCGGTCGATTGTCTGAGTATATTCAGTAGAGTACGAGAAACGTACATGTGTCACTATACGAGTGTCATATAAAAAATTAGGATGAATCCAAAGATGCGTTTTACGCCGAAGTGCAAAAACCTGTCAAGTTTAGGAGAGTGAAATGTTGCATTATGTTGTTCCCCGCAAGTGATTGTAACCTTCAAGCCTTCAGAAGGTAATTTAATTTTCAGCTTTCCACACAAGTATTAGTTTCCAAGAATTATTTGATTTACCTATTCTCACTTTGGTGTTCCATGGCAAAATCGATACTTCTCGAAATTGGGGCATGCAGCTGAAAATATGTATATGGTTATACTTCTGACAGGCCTGTAGTACACGATTAGTTAAGTGGAAACTGCATAGCTTCAGATTTGTGAAAATATACAAATTTTCGCCTTCTCGATTCCTAGTCGAGAAAAAAGATACTGCAATATCTCCATATCCGATATGCAATGCATGGGCGTAATTTTGTTTTAAGAAGATATTGATTTTTCAGTTTTTTGAACCTTCAGAATTTTCCAGAGTTCGGCTTTGAATGCGGATCGAGCTAGTGCGAACTTTTACAAACCTTTAGGTGGAACCATTTTTTGCTTTACCGATTATCCCTAGGCCTTATTGAAAATAGGCCCGCGGATAATGCGATATGACTTGTGGATGTATGACTCTTATTGCGGTAAAAAGCCAAAGTGTAACAAGGCCGATGTAAAGACCTAATTACTCCTCTCCTCTTACTTTTTGAATTCAAACTCATGAATTAACTTATAGAATTTGGAAAATTAATTGATTTTTTTGAATTATTGAGACTATCGTGTCACTAATATAAATGTCTAATGTCGGAAAGCATATATGTGAGTAAGTAAGAGGTCCACAGGATATATTATTAGCGAGTTTAGTTTCTTTGAGAGGTGTTTGCTTCGGAATGCAATGTTATACTGAAATAAGCAACAAGATTGGTGATTCGGTGGTTCACTGGATTACCATAACTGAGAGTGTGAGAATCACCACGGGTGGATGGTCAACGTGTGATCAAGAGTGAGACCAGGGCCCGGCAGGAGGTGGCATTTCAGAATTTTGAAAACGATATCCCCTTTAAAGCCAAAATTTCTTACGACTTCCCCTTTGACCCTATTTTTGACCCCCGTAAGTCCCTGACAAACAGATATACACAAATAATAAGATGGGCGGCCTCCGCTTATTATAGTAGTACTACCTGGCTTTCCTGGTCCAGCCCGGGTCATCGTTTGAGAGGATGGAATAAAGCCACACTTTGTCCTTCTACCTTCCCGTCCTTTTGGGCCATATTCTCCACCCCTTTTCTGCAGCATCAATACTGCACTGCATCCCTCCCCCTTACCCTCCTGCACGAGCTTACCTCAGAAAGGCTTATTGGAGTGACTGCATTTTCTAATTTCAAAATGGAAATGAACTTCACTGCACTGTTCACACCAAATTGTGCAAGCAGTTTGTTAGCGGCTGGTAAGTGTTCACTTTCCTTACAAGGTGCCAAAAATCATGAAATCGATAGAAGAATTCCACGAATTGCTTCGAAGGGTAGCTTAAAATCATCTACCGAGGCCGAAAACATATGTTTTCAAGGTTTCAGCTCAATGGGTTCATCCGCAAAGGAATCTATAAAAAAAAACCTAGGGTCAAGATTTGCACAAACTTTGACGTTTATGTAACTAAGATACTACTCATCTATTAGTCAGCTGCGAAACTTTACAATTTACAATAACCGATTGCGATTGGAGCGCGCTTTCCGAGGCCGATTATAACGCTATGAACCCTATTTGGGGCTGTATGAAGCGGTGCCCTGGTGGTTTTGGAAGCGGAATTGAACACATAGTAATACTCTCGACCTAGTCCACATTTATGTAAAGAAATCCGGGGAATTATGTGAAGGGAAGCAAGGAACCACCCCAGGTGGCTCCCAGGTGGCGCGGGAGCCACCTAATTTCGAAAACCACTTACCATTTTTTAAATTCACATAAGTTTCTCAAAAATCTTCGTACTTTTTTGTGCTCATGGTCCTCCAACTACGTAGCAAATTTGGTGCCATATCGTTACTTGTGCATTGAAAACGAGCTATTTTGTTATTTTCCTCTAACAAGAATTGCGGTTTAAATTCCCGCCTGCGGGCAGGCTAGCGATCGGTTTCGGGCCAAAAACGATATCCAGCTTGTGAAAGCGTTACCCACGCCGGGCCCTGAGTGAGACCTCTTAGTGGACGCATGGCAGACATGTCCTTCCCACTCGGCTATGACGTCATATGGCACGAGTATCAGGAATATATCGGATATCACTGACCAATCATCACATGGTCAATGATATCCGGTCAGACAAGGGTATACACAGATATAGAGAATAACAATAATTACATACGTAACTTGCACAAATGACTGCATCTATATAGAGGAGAATCGATTATGTTGTAGTTGTGATTTTCAGTGAGTTGTATGGCTAGTCGTTGAGGGTGAGCCATTGGAGTGATGACGAGAAGAGGCTGGTAGTAGTTGTAGCCGGCGATGGCTGTTGTAGGATTGCTGAAGTAGCAGGTTGTTGAAGACGACGGCAACTGAAGAAATGGGGGGGGGAGGGAGTAGAAAATCCAGGCGAAAAGAAGTGAACCTCTCGGCTGATTATCATCGAAATCATAAGGAAAGCACATGCAGTGATTTGAGTAAAAGATGTGCTTCGGAGATAATCGTCTACAGAAGAGTCATAAGCTACAGGATCCTCACATCCTTCCCGCTGCACGCCTATTGCCATTTGTTGGAATCGCTCTTCCAAAGAAATGCGATAGCAACCTTCATTAATTACAACCATCTATTTCTCTTATTATCGCAGTATAGCAACAATCATGCTGAGAGCTTTTTCTTCATTTATGCCCTCTTACTACGACGATCATTACGATATCCCGACAAAGAAAGTAATTGCCTGACGTATAAACATTTCATCCACTTGCGTTACTTCTTGTAATCATCGCTCTGGCTGGCCGGAGTGTACCGACATTGTCGGCACCTCCCTACAACCATATTTTTACTCTAACCCAGTACCATAAGGGTCATGCCATAAGCATGACCTACTGTGATATCTGTTATGTTACTACACCACGCCTATTATCGTTAGCATTCTACCAGTCACCCCTGAGTGCACGTCATCTGTCTCAATAAAGCTATGCTTTCGTGTTTTATATAACACACTCTAACACAGTCTCACACCCATTACTCAATCGAAATTCATATCGCGTTTATCAAGGCGCACCAGGGGCAGTCGAAAAAATTTTTCGGGGCTTCTTAGATTTTCCACGCGCTTTATGACCTTGAAATCTCTGAGAGATTCCGGCTGCTATAATCCTCCCCCCCCCCCTCCGAAAGAAGTACGTGCACACAGGTCTGAGTACCAGAAAAACAAAAACTCCATCGAAATGTAATGCTTGATATCTCCTTACCAACCTAATAAATTTTCGTTAGTTCAGGTCAGGTTAGTTTTAGACAATTCATAAATTTATTTACCTTAAAGGCAGCGTCCACCCAGAATTTAACCCCCATGTTTTTGTCATTTTGGGGCCTTTCCGTGGCCCTGATTACAGTTCCTAACTTCAAACTCTTCAAAATTCACAAAAAACCCGATTATTGGAGACCCAGTCTTGAGGGCGCGGACGAGTTTCGAACTGCTCGTCCCCGTCGGCAGGCCAGCGGGAAGGAGCTGCAACTGCATGGGTGCAGTTGCATTGCAGTGTGCAGTGTGCAGCTTCTGCTCACTACCTTGTCAATACGTGTTGGGAGACACGTATTGACAAGGTAGTGAGTAGTCTGATATCAGACTCCGCCCAGCCAGGAATTTTCAGGCCCCTTATCTCCATTCAGTGACAACGTAAGAAGACCGGACCAATGCAGATGCCCCTTTTCTGAGGCCTACATTCAGGACCGACACTAATCGGAGGGGGTTAGGTTTAGCCTGGACACTGCCTTTAAAAATGATTAGCATTGAAATTCTTTGTCAATATGACCGCTTATCAATTGCGCTCCAGTGGTGACCAAAATCCATAGGTCCAAGCTAAAAAATGTAACTCACTCTGTTGTCAACGAATTGTCCCAAAATTTGGTTCAGTTGTATGTTTACAAGCCTATTATCAAATGTAAAAACAGGCCTCGTTTTCGTCGCTTGTTCAAGAAAAAATCAGAAATTTCAAAAAATGTGGATTCAGAAGCTGCCCCGAATTTAGGTCCACCTGAAATTTTTATTTATTAGAGCACATCTCAGCTTCCGAAATTTTTTTAGGTAGATACAAATTCAAGGCGTTGAACGGTTGCTTTAGTTTAGCTGCTCGTGCCCTAGAAAGAACCGATTATCCGCTTTTTGAACTTCAAAATGCCTTCACATATATTTCGCTCCAGAAATCTGCATCTTAGTAAGGAATTCCATGATTTTTAGCTGTTTCGAAAGCGACGGAGCTTTATCTTCCTTCTAGATGCTTTTTGACTTGAGCATGGAAAAATTTGACTTTTTGCCTGTTAAAGCATATCCGACATCGGCTTAATCGCAAGCCTAAGCTCAAGTTACTGCTTTAAATCCCTTTCTGCGCTATCATTGCAAGCACAAACCGAAGTAGAAGCATCCTCTATACAATAAGAAAATTCGCATGTCATACACACAAATGTTCAAAAGCCAAACTTTTCTCTTTGACTGTGACGCACTCATCTTACAGCATAATGTAGATTAAGTAGGCTACAAATGCGCAAACAGTTTGATTTTTGGTAGCGAGGCGAAGAAAATTTACGCGTTTTTTGGAAGCTGGTCAATTCCAAAGTTTCAGTATCGGAAAACTAAAATTAAAGACGTTCTCAGTCTGAATCATACACATCAAACCGAAAAGGTGTTGATCATTGAATATTCCCCTATCAACAATCTGCGTACAGTTTCGGTTTGATGCAGCTGATTCAGACTAATAACGGCTTCATTTTTAGTTTTTCTACCCTTGAAATTTCGAATTTGGTCAGCTTTCGAAAAATGCATTCTCCACTTTGATATCAAAAATCAAACGGTCTGTCTAAATTTGTAGCCTACTACATATCTGATCTACAACATGTCCGAAAATGAGTGAGTCGCAGTCAAAAAGAAAGGAATTACGAAATAAGTAAAATTTATGTGCCAACCCAATGATCACTTAACAGTACTGGCTAAACTTTTTGGCAGTAATTCTAATGGTTTAGCCAGAGCCAGAATTAACCTTGCTGCTTGTAGCAGTAAATTTCTGCAGAGTGATTTCCGCATTTATACTTACATGCCAGGGCCTCTAAAACATTGTAACCATGAGGACTCCTTCGTACAAATGATGCCTTTACTCTACTCAAAGGCAGTGTCCAGGCAAATCTGGGCGCATGGATTTTTCGCTTGGGAATTGATGAGGGGGCCCCAACTAAGGCACTGCCCTACGGGCAGGCAAAATGTTCGTTTAAGGTGAGAAATACGTCCCGAAAACCGCGCACCTGCGTCGTGACCGTAACCCGAAAACACTTCGCCACTTTAACACTACGTTCGCGCTGGGACCCATCCTAGGTTACGGTCATGGCGCAGCTGCGAAGTGTTGGGAGATGGATTTCTCAGCCGATAATGAATCATCTGCTCTGCGGTTTGGACAATGTCTTAGCCATAACGTCCTCATAGTTTTCAGGCAAAAACCCACATGCCCAAATTTGCTTGGACACTGCCTTTGAGGTCCTGAAAGATTGCAAAAAGAGTTCAAAGGCAGAAGTTTGAGCTTAAGCTTGCTGTAAGGTTCGATGTCGGATTTGTTTCAACATTAACTCTACATTAAGAAGTCAGGTATTTCCTTAATTCTCGCGTCTCCAAGCTTGTAGAAAGACGATTTCTTCGTAGAATTCCCTACTCCACGCAGATTACTGCAGCGAAATACATGTGAGGGCATTTTCGACTCAAAAAAGCAGATAATCGGTATTTCGGTAGTATCACAGCTTGACAAAGCAATTGCTGGACCTTTTGAGTGTGTAGCTGCCTAAAAAATGGAAGCTAAGAAGTGCTCCAACAAAAATACAGATGGACCTATAATTTCGTTCGGCCTGAAGTTTGCTTTTTCTTTGAAATTTTTTGGTTTTTCTTGAACAACCGATTGGAAAAGGACTCGTTTTGATGACTGAAATAGGCTCGGAAACACACAGTTGTACCAAATTTTTGGGACAATTCGATGACAACAGAGTGTGTTAAGACATTTTCTGGAGTGGACGTATGATTTTGGCCAGCATTGTATTAGCGGATTCAGCTCCTCATGAACCCTTCTCATGAACACGAAATAGTCGGGCATATATGTGAGCCCGGGACTATTGGAGGCGTAGTTGCCATTTTCCGTTTTTCAATTTTTTCATGTTTTACAGGCAGGAAAAAAAACATAGCAAGCTTACCTTCAAATAAGTGCATATTTTTAATATGTATATGCAGGGCTAAATGAGAAATTTATAGGATTTTCTGGAGCAAAAATCTTACTTTTGGCAACATGAATTGCTTCTATGTTTTGGCTCTAAACTTTGTAAAACAGATTTCTATCAAGGTTCGAAGGTCATCTTGTAGCGCTCTTTGCCCTATCGAATGGTACCCTTTACATATTTTTTTTTTTGTTTTCGTCTCATTGCTTTGTTGTAAAAATGAAGTTCCTTTTTTTCCAACCTAATACCCGTCGTTGAATAATTTATATATCAGAAGATTCCAGCCTGTCCTTCAAAGAGCATAGCTGGTTTGGGTCGTCCGTGATCGTCCACGACTAGAAGTGCTGCCCCGTCAACAATGTGGTAACATTTGTCATGAATGTGATGCAGACGGTCTTTTAGCAAGAGGATCGAAAATCAGGTAGTTTTATCCACATTTGGACTAGTTTCTGCTGTCCGTCTCTGTTGAACGCTCAAAGTGGAAAGAAGAAAATATCTGACCCTATTGGAAAACTGCAAAGAAATGCACAACATTCCATTGCATCTCAAACCCAATGCTTTCACATGTTTCGAATCTCGGAATGCTGGAAGAAATTTGCCATAGGTTTTCACTGACGCATACAATGCTCATTCTGAGGCAAACCTAAAGAGGAAGAGCTGGCAAGCTTCAACTGAAGGTAAGTGGATTTTTTGTAACAAATCTATTATATAAAACTATTATGCGGAAAGATCTTTCTCGTGGGGCTTTTTCGGGCAGTTCGATTTTTTATTGTTGGTTCTAAGCGGTGGGAACGTGGAACGTCTCAAACTATTAAAAAAACTCATTTGCATGGCCCCAGATCAAAGCGATTAATAAATTCGCAATTAAGCTTTTCGATACAATAACGATAAAGATTACGTTCGAACAAAAGAATTATCATGCGGTTTCGAAATTTCCTCCACCTACAATTTGCACATCTCAGAATTTGAGTTTTCAAATGACGGACTAATCGAACTTGACCGACAATCGCGAAAGCTTTTATGCACTTTCTACTTCTGTATAAGATAGCAAACTTTATGGATTTTCAAAAGATGCAAAAATTTTAATGCTATGCTTTTATTTTTAGTGCATCGAGGATCATGCTTCGCCGGTAGAAAAGAGAAATAAGCTTATTGGCGGTGTCTGTTAGGAGATTAGTATATGAACAGCCCAGGTGTCTACACTCCTGCAAATCGAAAGTCATATAAAAACTAAAGCGCTCGACTATAAACTTCAGAGCACCCTATTTTCAGGTGTATAAGCTGCACCCTCTTTGCTCTAAACGCGAGCAGACCCAAGCGTGCCGCTGCGCATGTGCCACGCGAAGCGGTCGCTTTCTCGCACGTTGCTCCTTAACGCGTCCC